ATGTCAAGGAAAAGCAAAAATCCATCATTGAGAGGAATACTAATGCAAAAGGTTAATAGAAGAATTAACGACTGACGATAAGGAAAAAACATAGATACAAATATTGATAATAGCATAAAAAGAAAACAGAAAGATGCAGTCTTCAATATATGTTACTACTTGAATGAAAGAAATGAAAATATATGACACATTCTATCATGAATAATGTGACAAGAAAACTCGAATAATCTTATCGTTTCAAGTCTTACTAAATATTCTACAAAAACAAAAATTCTATTGAGACCATGAGCAGACAATCAAATAAGTAATAGTTGAAGATCATGGTAGACAGTGAGGGAATCAACAGTCATGCCATTCTCTATGGGAACTCTATTCTATGGGTGTCATAGTAAGTATTTCTATTTCTGACCTAGTCATCATTGTAGCAAATGTTTGTTGAAATAATCATAATTCCAAACAGAATATCTATAAGTTTTTTATAATTTTGTCAATGTCAGCTAATAGTCAGAAAATGAATGTCAACGCCACATTGCCAATTCGCAATCTCCAGCCTTCTCTATGTTTTTTTTCTAGGATTCTTCCAGTTACTTTCGACACATGATATACTTTCGAAAATTAGTGAGCATTCAGTTGCGTTTTCTAGAAGAAAGTTTGCAGCAGCGCTCGTTACTTTCTTCCAGTAACGCAATTATAGTCAATTTTGCTGACAAATTATATTTAAAAAAGAAATATGATCACACGAATTTTATATTATTAATCATTTCATATATGCTCATGAAAATATTAAAACTAAATGAACATAGAAAAAGTAAATTATTTACTGTACAGTGCGTGGCACTTTGGGGATATGAGGATTTTTTCTGATGACCAGATTTGTTTCAATAAATCTAGTTTATGTAAGGAATATCGATAAAACTTTCTACAACTAAAATCAGTCTTCATTTTCAATTTTAATTCAACGCAAACAAGATCATTTTTCGTTTTGTTTCCGCTATTATTTCACAAAAACTTTACATGACTAAAAATAGATTCAAGAAAAGATGTTTGGGACTAATATAATAAAAGCAAATTGAACTAAATTTTGTAAATGAGATACATTTTCACCGTTAAGAAGATCAGCCTATAATAGGTCGAATATGATTAACGGATGTTTCTTTGTTCTTTGTGGAATCTAACATTCTATTGTAATGTTAAATAGTTTTTCTTGTTGATCTAACATATCGCTTAGAGTTGAGATGAAGAAAAAACAAAAACCACTAGAAAATCTCGGAAAACACCTTCTGCTACCAGAAGACTTTTTCACTAGATGAAAGGCTCAAAAGCCAGGATTCGTTCAGGAAAAGTAGCAGGTTTGATAACCCTGCTTCCTTGCAATTTTAATATACAAATTTTCTCTAGTGAACCCAGGTTTTAGAAAAACTAGAATTTGCGAACTTTGATATGAAACTTTTTGCATATAGAGAACTCAGCTAGACCAACATCCATAAGAATTTCACAAGTTTTCAAGAAAATTTCTTGGAGATACATACCTTTTCCAATGTATAGAGTATACAACATACTTTTTTTTTTTGAAAGCTTCATATCTCCGAAGAGACATTGGTCAAAACTTGTGCACTTTTTTATCCAAACTAGTATAGTTGAGTTCTTTATATACGCAAGCTTTCTGATCAAAATTCGAATATACAAGTTTTCCGATAACCTGATCTCTCTAGAAAAAAATTCGATCGCTTAGTAAAATCTCAATTGGAATCGAAACCCTTTTAGGGTTGGTATTAGAACACTATGCAGTATCTATAGACAAAATATGATTGAAATCAGAAGGGAAAAGCTAAGAAGGTTCCTCCATTTGACGTTAAATTAAATACTAAAATTTATAGAAAATCGTGAGAAAAATAAACTTAGATATACACCATCGTAAGAATTGAATAATATTTTATCTTAGGTGTGGACATTGTCGAAAATTTGAACCTATTTATGAAGATATAGCAAAAGAAGTCTATGATTTATCAGCAAGTGTTGATGAATTTAAAAATGTTCGTATTGTACGTATTGATGCTACTGTTTATACAGATGTTGCTAATCGTTATGATGTACGTGGTTATCCAACAATAAAATTTGTTCGTGGCTCACAAATATTCTCTTATGAAAATGAACGATCTAAAGCAGCTGTTTTAGATTTTTTACGACGTGTTAATGGACCTGCTTTACGTTGGATTCCATCTATAGGAAAATTTAATGAAATACGTCGTGAACATGATGCTTTCTTTATATATGTTACAGCAAATCATGATGATGATGATGATTTATTTATTCAATATAAAAATATTGTTAATCAATTATTAAGTCAAACTTATTTTTATGCAACAAATGCTTCAATTATACAACAAACATATTTTTCAAAATATAAAACAGATGTTAAATCACAAATATTTGCTATAAAAACTGAAGGATTTTATTTATATAAACCCGATGATTATAATAATAATTTAGAACAATTTATCATTAAAGAAAAAGTTGCTACATTTCCACAAGTTTCATCAGGAAATATACATGATTTAATTGTAACAAAAAAAATTGTTATTATTTATGGATTTAAAGATCAACAAGAAATATTTGCTCAAAAACAAAAAAGGTTTAATTATAGTATTTGTTTGATTCGTATATAGAAAAATAATACTACCTAGATTTATTCAACTCCTCTCCTGCTTCTGAAAATGTTGACAACAACTTTTTCTCGTTTTGAAAAAAATTCTTGATGAGTTTTCTCATTCTGGTCACACTTTCATAGCTCTATTTTCTCCAAATTCCAACATTCTTGCGCATTTCGACTGCAAGAAAAAATTTGACGTCTATTCAATTTTAACTGACTCAGAACGCTATTACGTGAGACCACACATTTTTTTCACTTTTGAAAATACTTACTTCTACTCTGATCTCTTCGTGTCGCCCCTGGAAAATACCGAATATTTGATAACACGAATGTCTTAAGTAAAATATTCGTTAGAATTTCAGCAAGAAAAACTTTATTTTCTTAACCTAGCAATTAAAAATTTCAACTAAGTTGGAGTTTTATAAATATTGTTCAAAAGTAATTCATCATAGAGCATCATGAGTATTATATGAGACTTGAGTTTTATTTATATAACACTCCGGAGTGCTTATGTGAGAAGAGTTGAGAAGTAGAATGAGACAAGACACATGTGTTACCAGTTATCAGAGTTCGAGCTCTTCTTAGCACTTAATCATTCTTAGAATTTAGATGAAGCATGAGAGAAAGACATTTCATATGGATCTATTATTTGTACGAAACTAATCCTTTTTTTATCAAGAGCGATTCGTGTCTCTTCATTAAACTTTTTACTCTGTTCATTTTTGAAGAAATATCCTAGCAAGTGTCTCTAAAGTCGTTTCCTAATAATAATATATATATATATATTCCCGAGAAGAAGTGGACGTCCTAAATCTGATTTGTAGATATTCTCCAATCCTTTTTTTAATGCACCATTGTACATAAATCTCCAATGGATCCTCTTGTATCACTCTGAATAGATCATTCGCTGATACAGATAACTATCGGTGTGCTATTCTAATGGCAACTATTCATGTATTGTCTTAAAACAAGGATCGAAATTTTTCTTCCTCTTTTCATCTACTTCAATCTGGCCAGTACATTTTCGATTTTTTCGAGGCATTGGTCAACCGTGAGTTTCAATGATATTCTGCTAGTCCATTCGAGGCTCAATAAATTAAATGCATTCACGATCTCTAGTTTTTGATCTTTCATATAAATTTTTATTATCGATCATTGTATATGTGTATAGAATATTCATCTAATTGTCATTTGTATGTTGATAGATCCTTTGCATTTCCTCATATATTCAAATTCAATTAGCACGATTTTTTCCTCGATTTTATCTAAAAACAGGGACATTTCTAACTGTCAAATATCACATGGTTTCATTCTACAACTTCGAATAAGTCTCTATCAGATGAAAACATAAAAATCTGTTTATAATAAAAACAAAAGTTCTTCTCCCAGTATTTTACTTCGGACTTATTATAATCCCAAAGAACAATTAAAATTAAGAGTCCTTTTATTTATTTAGAAACGAATTAAAAACTCAAATGCGTAATTATATGATAAAGCATTTATCAACACTTCGTGATACATTCCAATTCTCATGGTCAAATGATCTTGATTTACTTAGTAATATTGGTAAGTGAAAAAAAATTCTTTTATAATTCCTTTTATCGTTTATTTTCTAGCTGTATGGACACTTGATGAACCTTTAATTTTTCTTTATGATAGTGTTTTGCATAAATATGGTATTTATCCATTATCATTAATGATTGATAGTAATATTCAATTAGAACCAATTCTTGATTATATTATTAAAAATCACACAGATATTATTCAATATTCAGGTGATGCATGGTCTAAACGTTTATTTCGTCCTTTTTGGGAATTATATCGTACAATAATATTAATGTTTATTGAAGCACCATTTATATCATTACTTATTATTGGTATTCCTGCATCTATTATATCAATAATATGTTATTGTTTATGTTGTTCATCAAATGATAGTTCATCAGTTAAAACGAAAAATTCTAAGAAAAAACGAAAAAATGGACAAATTGTTGAACATGATGATGATGAACAACAGAGTATTGGTGAAGACGATGAAGAAGAATATGAAGAACGTATTGTTCAAATTGAACCAAGATTTATTGAAAATTTTGTTAAACCAATTGATGCACGTGATATACCAACATGGCCAATAATGACAGATGATAATCAAAAGACAATGATTGAAAAAAAGAAAGATTAATGTTTTTGTTTTTGTTTTTGTTTTTGTTTTTATATATATTTGTTTGCTTTAATTCTCTAGTCAATGTTTGTTTTGTAACTCATTTACATCTCATTAATTGTTTATATATCTTTATTTAATATATATATATACATGTGTGTATGTCTGTATGTATTTTTGTTTTTAAAGATGAAAAGGTGGAGATTTTTACTCGGATTCGGAAGTGAAACAGGTCAATCAAAATCAATTGCTCAAGGAATGGTTGATATTGCATCCGAGCAACATCAAATATGTGCAGACATGTTTGAATTGGATGAAGTTGATAAACAAGTGAGAGAATAGATTTATTGGGAAAATCAATAGAAATATATCAATAGCTGAAGTTGTCTTTTTATGAAAATGTAATATGAGCTGGTTTCGATTTTCTACAAGATTTATTTGAAAATATAGAAATTTCAAATTTTGATATTCTTTTTGTGTCTATCGCAGTTCAAATTAGAAGAAGAACCAGTCATGGTTATTATAACATCATCAACAGGGGATGGTGAACCACCCAGTAATGCAAGTAAATTCTGGCGCAAAATTCGTCGTGAAAAAAACTCAAAACTTCTTTCACATATGAAATATACTATCTTAGGTACTAAGAATTACAGCCTGAACTTCTTTTTATAGAACATTTCTATTTAGGATTAGGTGATACAAATTATTCGACTTTTTGTAATTGTGGTCGTGTACTTGATCGTCGTTTTGAAGAACTTGGTGCTACTCGATTCTATCCTTCAGCATGGGCTGATGATGCTGTTGGGTATAATTAGTTTTTATTTATTTCTCATTTTTCTATTTAAATAATTCTAGTCTGGATTTAATAGTTGAACCGTGGCTTCAAGGTTTTTGGCCTGCTTTAAAAGAAACTCTAATGAAATTGAATACTTCTACTGAAACATCAATAAATAATCTATCCGAATCCATAAATCAACTGAATTTAACACAAGAAATTAAACCAACAGTAAATCGACAATTATCATCATCTAATAAATTTAAATCAAATCAAGATAACATTACTTATTCATCAACTTTAGCTGAAATGACAACATTAACATTACCACCTAAATCGTCACATTCATTATCAATAAAACTCATCGAATCATCTGAAGTAATTTTTAGTTTTCATAACAAATAAATATATACAATGGCTACCAAAATTATTCAACAAGATTTATTTTCAATTGTTTGTTCTGTTGTCGTAAGCGTTCGAATAAAGAAAATCATTTTCAACAAGAATATAACGAATGAAAAACTATTATTAGATTTTTGAAGATAGAGATTTCATAAAATTCAAATCCTAGTTGTTCAAAACCTAGAGCACATAAATATAATTATATTAAGACTACATAGAACACTAGACTAAACAATTCTCTAGAAAAAAAGACATCTTCAAATTCTCTCTGACGGTTTTTTCATCTGAGACACAACAATTTAATTTGAATACCAAAAAACCGACTTTAGGAGTTTCCCTGAAAACGCCATATCTCAACTGAAAAACGATGCAAAGAACTTGAAGACATCTTATTTTGTAGAGGATGGCTTACTCTATCGATCTATGTAATCAAAAATATTATATTTATATCTTTTATATTCCTTTTGGAAACAATTTTCTCAATTCAAATTACTATTAGGACTTTTCCTGGCGCTTACGGCAGAGGGCAAAATAGAAAATAAATCTTGCTCAATAATTTTGGTATTTATTGTATATACAGTGGATCTCAAAATTATTGACTCAGATTTATGTTCAAGTTTTTTTTTTGCACTATCGTAACCGCTAATAAAAATTTGAATGATATATTCCAGTTCTCTACGCCAGTTTTTGACTGAGATAGATCAGTGTTATCAAAAGCACAAAAATGATGTTTGTATACGACATAGAAGAAAAAATGGCTTTTATGCCTTTCGTTAGATTAATGTATCTCAGTCAAAAAAAGGCGTAGAGCGCTGAGAAATGTTTCATTCTGCGTAGTTTAAATAGAATTCTATTTGCAAAATTCTAGAAATGAAATAAATTAGTCTTTGTTTTTTTCGAAGACTCTATCCTTGAAAAACTAACAATCATTCTTCATCTTCGAAAATAATATTCTCTATACAAATCACTATTCGAATTCTTAATAGTAGTCACGGCAGTAGAAAAATATTGAAAATAAAACTAGATGAATAGTTTTTGAAGTCATTGTACGTATATCTTAATTTATTCTGTTTAAAGGATAAAAATCAACTACCGGTTGACTCACATTATCATATTTCAGCATTAATTCGTCGAGAATGTTTAACACATGATACAGCAATAAAACCTGTTATGTCTATTGAATTACAACTTTCGGTTTGTTTAAAGTCTAAAAAATTATCTTAACGGAAATTTTTATTTTTTTAGGAAGAAGAATTTTTATTTGAAGCAGGAGATGCAATTAAAATTGTTTGTGCAAATGATGAAAATGAAGTTAATCTTCTTTTAAAACGGTAATTCTATATTTTATTCTTATTTTTATATTTATTTGAAAATTTATCTTTAGTTTAGAATGGATGGATAAAGCATCTCATCAATTAGATATTTCACTTTCACCAGATAATACAAAAAAATCAGCTAAAATACCAACATATATACCACCAATGTGTTCATTACGTTATGCATTAACAAATTGTATTGATATTCGATCATCACCAAGAAAAGTAAGAAAGAATTAATTATATAGAATCTTCATGATTATATTTAATTTTGTTCAATAGAATTTATTAAGATTATTTGTTGATTGTACAACTGATGAAGATGAAAAACGTCGTCTTGAAGAATTATGTAGTAGAGAAGGTTCAGACATTTATATAAAATATATTCTTGAAGAACATTTATCAATTCTTGATATTCTCAATCATTTTCCAAGTTGTAAACCAGATGTTGCTATGTTAATTGGTTTGAATAATAATTTAATTAATTATTCGGTATAATTATTTTCTTTAGAATTTTTACCACAATTAATACCTCGATTTTATTCAGTATGCAGGTGTGAATTCTTTCGTTTTCTTTTTCGATTTTTCTTTATTAATATTTTATTCGATTCAGTTCATCATTAGACGATGCTCGATCTATCAAATTTGTTTACAGTGCATTGAAATTTGAAGCTTTAAATGGTCGAACATATGAACGATTTGGTGTTTGTACGAATTGGTTAAATAACATAACAATTGGAACGAAGGTTAATTATTTATTTTTTTAGCTTTTTGTTTTTAATAAGATTTATCGTTTGAATATAGATTTTAATACAAACAAGAATTAGTCAACATTTTCGATTACCATTAACTCTTGATACTCCATTGATTATGATTGGACCAGGAACAGGTGTAGCACCATTTATTGGATTTCTTGAACATTTGTATGTTATTTTTCTCCTTATTCTTGTATTCAATTGATTTTATTTGAATGAATATGAATTCTTGACTTTTAGGTATCTTTCTTCGAAATCAATTGCGGGTTTTGATGTGAATAATTTACATACTTGGCTTTTCTATGGATGTCGTCATCGACAACGGGATTTTCTTTTTGAGTATTGTCTTTTCTTTATTTTTTTTTGTTGTTGTTGTTATCTTCTTTCTATTTATCGTATGGTTTGTTTTTAGAGAGCAAATTCAAATGTATCAACAAATTAATATATTGAAACATTTATTTGTTGCAGCATCAAGAGAAGAAGGTTATCCTGTAAGTTTCAAAAACTTATTAAGATTTATAATCATAAACCCGTTATAAAAAGAAAAAGGACACTTCTTTGAAATAGAAAGTTTTTACTATTTTAACATAGATGATAGAAAGTGGAAATACGAGAAAAATAAAAGAGCTTTCTTATGTATTTTTCAGTTGAATTCGTTTTACAGTTCTTCAATTAATAATCATCAGTTCGAGTTAGTAGTAAAAAACAACAGGAAAAATTCTCTCGATACATTTATTAATTTAACTATTAAAAGATAACTCTTGATGTAACGAGATTTGTTAAGTCAAATAAAAGTTATACACATATATAACTATCCGAAAAGTTTTATTCTTTTTTCTTCAAGTAATTTTAATCTTTCGAAAAGTTCTTTGGATCTAAATCGCACTTGGCTGCAGTAGAAAATCAGTTTTCTCAGAGAATATCTTAAATTTTAGTTTCGTTACGTTCAAGATCAGCTTAAAGCAAATGGACATGAATTAGCCAATTTAATTTATAATCGAAATGCTATTGTATATGTATGTGGGGATATTAAAACAATGGTTCGTGATGTTCGAGAAACAATAGTTCATATACTGCAAGAACATTCTGGTTTGTATTAATTCCTTCTTCACTAAAATAAAATGTTGATCGGAGTTCTTTTTGTTTTGTTTAGATATAACAAATATTGATGAATACATGAAATCATTGGAGACATCTCGACGTTATCTTCTCGATATTTGGAGTTAATAATAATTTTTAATTATCTTTCAGTTTCTTTTTTGTTGAAATATACGCTGTTACGACCTTTTCTTGTATGCAAACAAAACCTGTTGATATTTGCAAGAAATAAAAAAAAAAAATACAGAAAAGACGGAAGGTACATTGACCATGAACTAGATGATAGATAGAAGAAGGATATATATTTAAATTTGAGCAATGTGCAAAGAGATTATGACGAATAAATCTGTCTCATATATATCAAGACATTCAAGGTGAAGAAAACAGTTGAAAAAAAAACATTACTTATTTTTAATATCAAGTTTATATATAACCTTGTGATTCATGTATTTAGCATTGATAAGAACATCTTAAATTTAACATTGTACATTGTATAATTATTTATACAACAAGTATATGCACATGAACAATGAGGAAAGAAGAATAGTGATGATGGTTTAATGTTGAAGGGTGCTTAAAACAACGCGACATTTGTCGTGTGAGAAAAAAAAAGAGACAAAGAGCGTACATTGAAATGTCGATCTACCTACATTCTCTTGCGGGGAATGAATTTAAATAGTGAACACAATCCTCACAAAAAATGTTATCATCACAGTCTTAGTCGTTTTAACAATTGATAAGTATCACAATAGAATTATTTCGCTATCCCCGGTGTTGGATCACTTTAAAAAATAAGAACATTATTTATATATATACATATATTTATTATTAAATATAAAATGAAAGTCAAATCTACTCGACTTTTAATTGTTCTTGTTTGTCTTATAATAAGAATTACACATACGAATGCATTATCAAAACGTAAGTTTGAATTCTTGTTTTTAGTTTAATAAAATATATTCATTCTTAAATAAAAGGACAACAATGTCGTGATTTTGCTGGTGATCGTTCAAATTGTCAACGATTTATTCGTTGTTTTCATAATTTAAGAGTTGTATTCACATGTGCGTCTGGTACAGCTTATGTACCTGAATTAAAAACATGTGTTGCTAAAGAATTAGTAACTGATTGTAATGATTCAGTAAATCGAGTTGGCAAGTTTTGCTTTAATTATTAAAATTTAATAAAAAAAAACGCTAAATAAAATTTATTTCATTTAATAGAAGTAGCGATGAGCTCAAATGATACACAAGATGAAAATGATGATTATCCAACAATTGAAGCCGATTTAGATGCACTTGAAGCACCTATGCAAAAATCTCTCTCATCATATGTTGGTATTTCTGTTACATCAAGAAGATTTGGTTGTTCATCCTACTGTTACAATGATGGAATATGTGTTCTTGTTGGACAATCTATTACTTGTCGATGTCAACGTGGTTATATCGGCGTTCGATGTCAAACAACACGTAAGATTTGAAAATACCAAAAAGGATCTATTTATTAAATATCATATTTTTAAAAAGAATCGGCAATCAACACAAGGCTAGTGTGTACACCCGGTCTATGTGAAAATGGTGGCACTTGTTTAGATATCATCGAATTAAATACTTTTATTTGCAATTGTCCACTTGGCTTTACTGGCGATTTATGTCAATATCCAGGTGATGTTAATATCTAAATATAGAGCGCGACATGATGTATAAATTTTTCTAAAAAATTTAGACACCACCCCCATCCCCACTACCACTACAACAACAACAACAACAACAACAACAACAACAACAACAACAACAACCACAGGAACTGGTGTCATAGCTGGTAAACCATGTCCAATAAATTATTGTCAAAATGGAGCAAATTGTACCATCCTTCCTGGCAATGGTTTCAATTGCACTTGTGCATCAGGCTATACAGGTCTCTTGTGTGATTCACCAGGTAGCTCATCATGAGAAATAACATGAAGATATTTCTTATATTGTTCGTTTTTTTCCCTATTGACCAGTGTCTGCTGTTGGCCCAGGAATTACAGGACTCTGTAGCATAGTTAATCCTTGTTTAAATGCTGGTGTATGTATACCGACCTTAATTGGATATCAATGTCAATGTTCCGGCAGTTTTTCTGGAAGTAATTGCCAATCAAATACAGGTAATAAAAATTGAATTTAGATAATTTAGTTTTCATCATTATTGTCGATTATAATTATTATTGATTTACTTAAACTTTTACTTGATTTAAAACAAATTAGTCTTATGATATATTTTTTTCTTTTTATATTTCAGCTCTTGCAATATTAAATCAATGTCTAACAAATACTTGGTAAGAATTATTCATTGAATTATTGTTAACATATATATGTATAGATAAATATATTCATTTTTTATGTAGTCAAAATGGTGGCAGCTGTTATCTTACTCAAACTAGTTCTGCTTGTGTATGTCAAACTGGTTTTAGTGGAACACGTTGCGAAACAAGTCTAGCTGCTAGCAATCCATGTTATAATAGACCATGCCAAAATGGAGGCACATGTCAAGTAGTTGCTCCTTTTACATATCGATGTGTATGTTGTATTGGTTTTCTTGGTGTTCAATGTGATCAACGTGTATGCGATCCAAATCCATGTTTATATGGTGGTGTATGTTTACCATATGGAAATAGTTTTCAATGTCAATGTCCAGCACAATATACAGGACGTTGCTGTGAACTATTACTTGTAACTACAGCAGCACCGAATCCATGTAGTTCTCAACCATGTTTAAACGGAGGTACTTGTTCAGCAACAAGTGCTACAGGTAAATTACAAAGATCTTATAATTTTATTTTTAAATATATTTAAGTTGTTTCTTTTTAAAGCATTTGTTTGTTCATGTACACGAAGTTATTATGGTCGTTGTTGTGAATTACGTAATTATTGTCAACCAAATCCATGGTAATATAAAATTTTAAATAAACAAAAAAAAACTAATTCATTTTGTTTTTAGTTACAATGGTGGTACATGTATTGCTACAACAAATGCTTACTTATGCCAATGTGTATATCCTTATTCGGGTAGTAATTGTGAAATAACTTTAGCAACTCGAGCTCCTCAACCTACTTGTGCTTGTATACTTTGTCCGTGTCCAACACCAACTGCTGCAACATATAATCCATGTTTGTATTTAATTTAATCATATAGTTAATTATTACAATTTTTTGTTTTCTTTCTTTCTTTTTTCTTGGTTTAGGTCTGCCAAATCCATGTCAAAATAATGGAGGTTGTAATGTTGTTCAAAATACTGCTCAATGCTATTGTCAATCAGCTTTTACTGGTTATTATTGTGAATATCGTGAGTTATATATTTTTTTTTATCATTTGTTGTTTTTGTTTTTCTCATACTATAATCATTGTGAATATTAGAACGTAAACGATCATTAAGCAATGCAGCTTGTGGAAATTTTACATGCTTAAATAGTGGAAAATGTTATGTTAATGAAACTGAACCTCAATGTGCATGTCCTAAACCATATTTTGGTGAACGTTGTGAATTAAGTAAATGAATTATTCTTTCTGTTTTGTATAGAATTTGTTTGTGTGTATTTTTTTTCAAAAAATTCAGTTAATCGACCTCGTACATGTAATCCGAATCCATGTCGTTATGATGGTCAATGTATATCAACAAAAGATGGTTATAAATGTATTTGTAAAAATGATCGAACTGGTATACTTTGTGAACAAATGATAATGCCAAGAAATTATCGTTGGTGTCCATTGGATTGTCGATCAGGTACAACTTGTGTTTATGAAGGTAGTACACCAATATGTCGGGTAATGTACGTATCATATATATAGATTTGGTTATTCATGAATTCAATGAAAATCTCTCTTTCTTTTTCTTTTGTTTGTAGAAGCGCTTATTAATTGTCATTGGATCGAAGATTACACAAGTTGTATCTGTTATTTGTTTGTTTGTTTGTTTTACATATATGATCTAGAATTAGAATTTTTATTATTTTGTTGAATTATCTTTTTATATAATTATCGAGACATATTTAAATGTAGCAAGTAGAGTTTGTTTAGATATATATTTGTTTGGCTCTCTAATATTATATATACATATATTTTTTTTTTCTTTTTCTTTGTTTTCTGCTATATGTCAATCTTTTACCGCATGAAGTATTTTTAAATATACTTGTATAGAAATTTAATCAATGGGAAAAATGAATAATAGAAAATGAACAATAATCAATAATGTTATAGTTTGATTACATGTTGTCATAAGAGTAGATGATGCACTAGGATCTTGTTGTTGAGATGTAAAAATATAGGAATAGTAACAGATGTTATTTTAGTAATACTACTAGCAGTTTCAAATGGTGATGAAATAATAGTTATTAATGATGATCTAGCAATATTTGTTTTTGTTGAAAATTCTGTAGTAATATTACTAATATTTGTTGATGATGGTGAAATAGTAACTGTAACTTCTATTATAATATTAGTAGTACTATTGTTATGAAAATCAGTGAACAACAATAATAATGTTTGATTGATATTTATCAGAGATTGAGATGTATAAGATAATATCGATGATAAAATCAAACTTGAGTTTTGTACATCACATGTGACGCCAATTGTTGATTGACCATTGATTAATTATGTCACAGACTATAAAAATCAATTTCGATAGAACTAATTTTAATTTCAAAGAGAAACTATTTACTAATTAATATATTAATCATTTTATGCCAATCGTTTACGAACATAGAATACTAGTTCTTTTATAGTTCTTCGAGGATTTAAAGTAGTAGCAAGATTGAATTAAAGAATTTTTTTCCGATTTATAAATTATGTTTATTCAACGATCAATTAAAATACAATCTTTTATTTTTCCAAATTATCACGAATCATGTTTTTCTCATTAGTTAGCTTATCAACACAAAGAAAAAAAAAATGAAACCTAAAATAATAATTTTTGATTTTGATTCATGACATACGAATATAAAAAGAACTATGCAACGAATAAAAAGTCATGACAAAAACAACAAACAGAAAGTATACATATATAATATATCAAACACCAAAAAAAAACTAACTTAGGATTATATAAAATTAATTCTATTAAAGAAATATGATTGAGTCATATCGAATAATGGCTATTCGATTATTTTCAAGAACGAAAATTCGTTCGATTGAAAAAGAATATTAAAAATATTCATTCAACAGATCAAGTTTTCATTGTAAGCGTACGATAGTATTTGTACCATCACCTCACTTGGAATGCCATTTTGTAGAATACCAAAACTTCCATTGTTTGAAAGGAATCGAACCCAAATTAATTTTCAAAAAGATAGTCGAGCATAATCAAACCTTAAATGAAAAATAATTAATTGAACTACAATCGACTTTGTAAAAGTATAATGTAGTGTTCCATTCGTGTATGATTTTTCACACCCAGACTTGGACCGGTATTTTTTTTTTATAATCGGGTGCGATCATCTTATGCTCGGACTTCAATAGCTATGCAAGATACCTGACCAGATCCGCACCGAAGTTAATCGACCTCCCGGTAGATACTTTCACCGTCATAGTACAATTTTTACACATTCACTTTATATATAAAAAACTTTACTGTATAATTTCTTCCATAAACAACAACAAAAAAAGAGAACATCCAAAGATAAGAGAATTAGGTGACTCAAGATTTACTTGGTGTCTTTCTATCATTTGTTGTAGATGAATTTTCATCAAAAACGATTTCTTTTAGTAAAATAATATCACTTTTTACCTCTGTGATCTTTTCTCAAGTACAATAAATTGTTCGATCTTTTTTTATATAAATTAGCAGTTCGAAAAAGTAAAACTATTGTGAAACATTGAGATCTCATATATGACTGGATCAGATCTTGGGTATTTGACCTGATTTCAGGGCACTAGTGCAATGCCGCCAGTGAAAATAAAATTATCTTTGATCGATAATTTGACATCGTTCACTCACCTTTCACGTAGTCCAGCCTTTTTTCTCGTCATAACAGTCAAACTAACTGTGTTTATGACGATGGATCACTTTTATGCAATATAATTTTCTTTTTTTTCCTTTGTAAATTTTTCTATATTGCAATGAATAATCGTCTGTAACTGTGTGATATTATGCATTAACACTAAAAGAAACTAGTGATGCTTACGCATCAATATTAAAAACTTTATTTTAATCTGCAAGTGCATTACACAATGTTCATTTACACCAATATCAACTCTAATGTGACATCCTAATCGTCCAAAAATGAAGTTTTAACCTTTTGTCTATTTCTGATTGGAGGGGACTAGGGCTACTTGAATCAAATCGAATCAAACTGAGCCGAACACGAATCAGCAGAAATTCGATTCGATTTGGTCTCTGAATTGAGCATTATTTTATAGTGCACTTGCTTTACAATCGCACGTGCAACTGATGGTTGAATTCAATTTAGATATATTTTATTTATTAGATTGTAATGCATACAATCTATTCTTATATACAGTTTATAAATACAACCGATATCACTAAAATTTTCATTTTTTTTTATTCATTCCACTCTACTTTTAGAAAAACACGTGACTGTATGAATTTATCTCTAGGTGAATCTTAAGTTTGCCTGGTCAAAACTAGAATTTCAATTTTGTCCCTCAACATATACATGCAAAGATTGTCAATGAGTATAATTATTTATCAAAACATTCCTTTTGTTTTTATATTACAATTCATCTGGAAAGAAAACATCGGAAATACAAATCAATCAATAGGTAAAATTAATAATTTAAGGCAATCGAACATCTGTTAGTGAGTTTTTTTTCGAACATCATTAATGATAATATTAGATTAATCATTTAGAAATTAATTCAAAAATCATGTTTGAATGTACATATATTATATTTTAGCATGTCGCAAATAGGAATAAATAGTTCATCTAAAAAATGTCTCCACTTGTTTCTTGTATAAAGAATTCAATAGATTTAATCAATTCGACAAATAATTTATTCAACAGCTATCTGAAGAATTTTATCTATTAATGAATATGTATTAAATTTTATCTCTGTATTATAAGCATATTCCATGAGGAATTTCGTCTTTTGTTTTTATATATAAAATTTGAAGATGAATTAGTTTTCATTGTTCAAAAAAAAATCCCTTGTGATTAATGTTGATCAATTTTGACGTGAAGACAATAAAAATGAGTTTTTCTGTAATAGTAATGATACAACATCAACGGAATGTTCATCAGAAGTTAGAGTATATATAATAGAAAATAAATATATGATTTATTTCGAATAATTATCCAAGTTTCCTTTCAAGAAGTTCCAAGAAACAAAAAAAAGGAAGAACATGACAGAGATATTCTCATTAACAAGTAGCACAACTAGTCAAATAGTTTGACTCAGCAGGATTCTAGTGCGCATATGTTGTAATAAATTGCGCATCTTTGTTAATGCAGTGATAAACATCTACTCTGTATGCTACACTAGTAAATGTGAGTGTTTATCGTCTTTATTCACCTAAATTTACTCCTCGTAATAACTATCTAAACAAGCATATGTCTGACGAATATTTATCTATCGTCCTATGGGTATATACAAACGTTTATCTATTCCAAATAAACTGAAAATATATTATATTTGAGTTTGCTTTTTTTTTTCTTATGATTATTTTATTGTCATAATCGAGCATCCTTGTCAAATCTATATATAACATAAAAACTTTATTTTTGTTGATATGATTCTGATAATTAAATTATTGCCATCGAATGTATCAACAATTCAAAACGAAGACTAATTAAGTTGATTTCATTATGTTTTTTTCGATTGTAGATGATGAAATTTCCGTTTCTTTCATCCTATTTCTTTAGATCGGGTACCGTTTTTGACATTTCTTTTTTATTTTCATGTCAGAATAATAAATTTGATAGTGCACATGCATTCAATATTCATTAATTATGTTAAAAAAAAATATCGGTAATATTAAACATATTCGAAATAGTTGAATAATTTATTCAATCATTAGAATTAAATTATCACATTACTCTCATACCGACAAATATTAGTTGCTTTATAAAAAGAAAATAATAATAAAAAAGATTTTATATATTGAAGTTATTCTGTTAACTTTAATAAAAGTCAATAGACTAAAATTTTCTTGAAATTAATTAGATTTATTCAGCGAGACAAATCACGATCAATTTATATCAGTTTTTTGACATGTTTTTTTCAATTTTTCACTATGAAATTCTTGCTATTGCTTTTATCATAGGCATGTAATAATAACAATTGGATTTTTAAGAAAGCACAAGATAATGAAATGTTCGACATTTTTTCTTTTGAAATACGGTCGAATGGAGAAAGAATGTGAGAAATTCTCAATAATGTTTTTTTCTGCATGATGAACAATGATGAAGACGAGGAACAGTCCATCTTTTTTTCTTCGCTTCGTTTACATTTCTCTGTTCTTTTAAAACGTATATTGATGTCGAAAAGTCAACCGGAAATATGGTGACGTTCACGCTCAGAAAATCAAATCGACGAACTACAATTTTTTTCAATCATTTTTCAAGCAAAGACTAATGGAACGGAATGAGTAATATTCTACAATCGCAATCGTGCATCGTTTGCATTGCCCATATTTATTATTTTCCGTTCATTTTTTTTTGTCATTGGACTTCAATCGTCATAACACATACGTACTGACTAAAAATATCATTAATAAAAATAAATCTGTCTCTCATTAAGCACGCCAGACTAAAGAAATTGCTATTTGAAGCATAAGTATAATTTCTTTTTTGGTTGCTCTATTCTTTTACTGCTATCTGACATATATACAATTCATGACCATGAATCGTATAATCCAAAAGAATAAAGAGCGAATATAAGCAAAGACGATGGAACTGGTC